TCTAGACACTCTCAAACATCGAGATATAGGCAAAATGGATACACTGAACCGGAAAATGGCAACTGTGACCCCTCGTTATGTCCCCGAGGTCATCTCAGGTCACGAACAGAATCTAACAGTTTTTCGCTAATAACTTCTGATAGAGACGTGCTAGAGCGCTGAAAACGCCTTATATGTGTTTGGCTCGACGTTGCGGATCGACTGATATGCAACATGACCTTTTCCGGTCAGGTCATGACCTTGACCTGAGGTCAAATTTTCAAGTTGACCTTTCAAGGTCAGATTATAGTCATTCGACGCGTCTCGACGAGAGGAACACGATGGTGGCAAAAGTAATGTCATGACTCTTTTGAGTCAAAAGTTATTGCCGAAGAAAACGTTTTTCGTAAAAACGGCTATTTTTGGAGTTTTTGCCCCCTGGAGGCTAAACCGTTGACCTGAGGTCAAATCTGAGAATATTACTCAGAAAGGTCTGTAAAAGGGCTATCGAATGCGCTTTTCCGAGGCGCTGTAGCTCTATCGGTTCCCGAGATAGCCGTTGGCAGTTTCTAAAATGTTTGACCTTTGGTGACCTCTGGTGACCTGACCTTTGACCTGACCCAAAAAATGACCGAAGTGCTTTCGTCCTTATTTTGGACGTTCTTTCGATTGCTGCTTACCGCGTGTCGCTACGTGGCCCAGGAGCCGAGTTAGAAGGGGGGTGTTCAGACACACCCCCCCCCCCGGCCCGGCGCGGAATCTCAGAGCACCGGCCCGGCGCGGGTTTTAACAATAGCTGACCAACTGGTACATAACTAACGTAATGTATTTATTAGCAATGGGAACATCTGTCCCCAACTTAGCACTGACAATTTATTTATTTTTCCCGTAGCCGGAAATTTAAATATTCCCTTATGAATTGGTGCACTGACCGTTCGCCTGTTGTTACCCGCAGTAGGAGAGTATTTTCCCTTTTAACGTCCCTAAGCTGACCGTTCACCTGTCGTTACCCGCAGTAGGAGAGTATTTCATCCCTGTGCTGACCGTTCACCTGCTTGTTCACCCGCAGGAGGAGATAATTTTCCCGACGATGGCGATGAACGATAAAAAGGAATGGCTGTACGTGGCCAATGTGGACTCAATGACCCAAGGCATCCGCGTGGAAAAGTGCCTGTAAGTACCTCACCAGAGCATCCGCGTGGAAAAGTGTCTGTAAGTGCCGACAAACTGACGGATTACGGGAGCTACTCAATACTGAAGGCGGCAAAAGGGCCGTTAGACGTGGGGCAGTCGTATTTTTCGGTTGCATCTCATTACTGTTTCTTTCATATATTGAATGTTGAATAGAGTCTCGACCAATATAAGTTCTAGCCTTTGATATATCACGATTGGCACATAAGGCATGACAGAAAATTTTGCTACTAGTGAAATATCTCCCTGACCCTACCATTTGGTTTGTGAATGAGTCAGTATCATCCCCATGTGAATTCACCTGACCCGGCGACCTCGCTGCCCCGACAGGGACGAGGGCAGGCCGTGTAAGATAGGGGAGCTGTTCACAGTCTGCAAACAGAAGTACATCTATCGGAAAATGCTGGCCATGGACGCTAACCAGAAGCTGGAGGCGGACAACTTCCGCATCCCCAGCACCTGCGCCTGCTTCGTCAAGTGAGTCCGTGACTCGAGTCAGGTGTCACAGTACCATCGTGATCCGAGTCAGGTGTCCTATAGTACAACCGTGTGACCCGAGTCAGGTATCCCAGCAGTCAGCGCTGCTTCGTCAAGTGAGTCTGTGACCCGAGTCAGGTGTCGTAGTACCACCGTGACTCGAGTCAGGTGTCCTAGTACCACCGTGACCCGAGTCAGGTGTCCTATAGTACAACCGTGTGACCCGAGTCAGGTACCTATCCCAGCAGTCAGCGCTGCTTCGTCAAGTGAGTCTGTGACCCGAGTCAGGTGTCGTAGTACCACCGTGACTCGAGTCAGGTGTCCTAGTACCACCGTGACTCCAGCCAGGTGCCCTAGTACCACCGTAACTCCAGTCAGGTATCCCAGTAGTCAGCGCTGCTTCGTCAAGTGAGTCCGTGACTCGCCAGTCAGGTGTCCCAGTACCACCGTGACTCGAGTCAGGTGTCCTAGTACCACCGTGACCCGATTCAGGTGTCCTAGTACCACCGTGACCCGATTCAGGTGTCCTAGTACCACCGTGACCCGAGTCATGTGTCCTAGTACCACCGTGACCCGAGTCATGTGTCCTAGTACCACCGTGACCCGATTCAGGTGTCCTAGTACCACCGTGACCCGATTCAGGTGTCCTAGTACCACCGTGACCCGAGTCATGTGTCCTAGTACCACCGTGACCCGATTCAGGTGTCCTAGTACCACCGTGACCCGATTCAGGTGTCCTAGTACCACCGTGACCCGATTCAGGTGTCCCAGTACCATCGTGACTCAAGTCAGATATCAAAGTTCCATCGTATGACCCGAGTCAGGTATCCCAGCAGTCAGCGCTGCTTCGTCAAGTGAGTCTGTGACCCGAGTCAGGTACCTCAGCAACTGTGTGACCCGAGTCAGGTACCCCTGAACCCGTGTGACCCGAGTGAAGTATCCCAGTTCCACTGTGTGACCCGAGTCAGGTCAGCTAGCCATCTAAGGGAGGCAGATGGGTTTGTTGTGTCTGTTTTAGATAAGGAGTCAAGGGTGTGGAGTGAAGGAGGAGTTTTGTGAGGATATCGCACTTGCCCAACTGGTGCGATATCGCACGACCTTCAGTGGAGGCACACATCTAATACTGGGTAGGAGCACACATCTGGTGGGCACATGACACTTGACAGCCGGTTAGGGGCTTCCATCCATCGCTTGGAGCATCACTTGTTGGCGTACCACATGCGAGTTATTTGTGGCCTAGCCCTACAAACAACTAGTAAGCCGCCGCCACACTCAGGCCTGCTTATCACATTCCCGTCGCTACCAGTCCCTCATGTGCATCTGGTATCTATTTCAGGAAGCTGACGACGCGTTTTAACGCCGGCGGCAACAAGTCGTCGCGCCGGGATAAGCGCCGCTCCCGCTCCCGGTCCCGTCGCCAGACGGCGGACAGCGGGTTCGCCTTCTCCGGCGGAGAGACCGACGGTGAGAGAAACTCCCGGGATGGCCGGGGGGGGGGGGGCTGACCCGAGCGACGGTTATAATTCGCGGCTTTGGGCTAATTGGGAAGCTTTTATTTGAATTTGGAGTACTCCGTCGAGTATTCAATTTCATACTGCGAATTCCTAGAATTCCTAGAATACTAGGGTTTGGTGCTACCTTGACTGCATTTTATGCAGCACTGGGAACTGTTATTACGAAGAGCTGGCACGTAATGCCATTGAAGCAGTCTTGTTCAATGGGTTCCTGATTCACGCAATCCGTTCAGAATCCATTTGTGTGAGGAGATCACCCCCCACAACCCGTTCAGTGCGCCATGCCACGTCTCTAGCCCCGTCCCGTCCCGTCCGGCAGGTCTGAGCGGCTCGCCGCTGGACAACTCGCTGTCTGGCGGCGCGCCGGCGCAGGGCACCGCCCAGCAGAGCATCGAGACGGAGGAGACGCTCAGCCCCTCCGACACCATCGGCAGGCAGAAGGTCCGCTTCGCCGGAGAGATTGTCGTCGAGTCCAACCCCATCATCGTCCAGAAAAAGCCGCCCAAGTCGGCCGGCCGGCGGAACTGAGCGCGGCGCCACCTGTGGACGGCGGCCACAAGCTGCAGTTCCAAAACCCGCCGTCGTGGCGCTGCTGTCGGCGCGGGGAATATGGCGGGCGTGGCGGTGATTTGAAATGTGGCTGGATCTGACACGGGATCCGAGAGATCAACAACGACTGAGTGCTGCCGTGCGTTGCGGATGGTACTCGTGTGTTCACCGATACTCGGATATATCTGAAGAGCTTGCACCGAGCTTTCGAGGGAACACCAGGTTCTAAAAATCCCGTTCTTTTATGGCATCTGAAGAGGTCTCCGGTATGATGGGCTGTCGAAGGGCAAGTTTCCAAACGAGAATTACCATACGCGTTTTATTTTAGGACTAGTGTTTATCTTTGAAGATGTGTTCCGTTGAATAGTTTCGAGCTGCGTGAGATCAGAGTGCTGTAAATTACTCTTATTCAGAATGTGCCGTTATGGCATGTATCATTAACGCACTGTACGTCTACGCGCCCAGGCACGGTTGGCACGAACAGTAGACGTACTTTTTGTCTATCTACCGCATTGTTTACATCAGATCCATTCCACAGCGACAGCGTAGCTTATTCCGTGGAAAGGATTTTATTCAGATAGCTTTACAATGGGCACGGGCAATTTACTCTATGATAGGACGAACGCGGAGGGCGATGTGAAGTACGGCTTATGACGACCTGCTAGGGGACGCTTCCATAATAGCAAGCGTAGAAACTGTGCTTGATAGCCTGTGTGAGAGGTTCCCGACGTTCCCAGGTCACTGTCGCGGGCCCGAAGACAATAATCCGCTGTGAAGTGTTATTCAGAAAATGGTCATTTGTGAGTTACAGTGGCCCACGTTTTACATCGATACCCTACGACGAACTTTTTCAGACATTAGTTACAATAATTTTATAATAAAATGTATTAAAAAAGGATGTGTTTTCATATCCAGATACAAATATCTCTTTTATGAAGGAATTTACCAAGAACTGAAGTCGATGGTAAAAAAGAAAAGAAAAACATCGTCCTATCGACTGTGCGATATTCAACTATTCGACAGTTCCCAGCAAGAACATAAGTGTCAACTTTTTCGAAATCGAGATTTCTATACCACTCGGCTGAGTCGAATGATATAAAAATCTCAGTTTCGAAAAAAAATTGACACTTAGGAAACTTGCTGGGAACTGCCGCATTGTTATTCACACGGCAGTCAAATAGAAACAGCACCCATGTCACCAGACGGCATTGGGCTCGTGCATGTGTCGACACATTCTACCCAGCCCTGTCCTTGAGGATCTGTAACTATAGATTGATCAACACACATCAGTCCATTATCAACACACTATATTTAGTGAGGCATCTGATGGTCACGTGATGAACAAATGGGTAATTGGGATGAGTGAGCGCCACGTCTCATTTACAAATGTACAACAGTGCGGCGATGATGTGTATAAGGCCAATGAGCTCCACCTCGGGAGCCGGCACGGGAACGGGTCCACGGCGCAGCCCCGTACTCCAGTCGGGGAGTCGACACAAACTATCGGGAGCCGACACAAACAGTCGGGAGTCGACACAAACAGTCGGGGAGCCGACCAAATTACTGTCGGGAGCCGGCACGGGAACGGGTCCACGGCGCAGCCCCGCTACTCCAGTCGGGGAGCCGACACAAACAGTCGGGAGTCGACACGGGAATGGGTCCACGGCGCAGCCCCGTACTCCAGTCGGGGAGCCGACACAAGCTGTCGGGGAGCCGACACAAACTGTCGGGAGCGGACACAAACAGTCGGGAGTCGACACAAACAGTCGGGGAGGCGACACAAGCTGTCGGGGAGTCGACACAAACAGTCGGGAAGGCGACACAAAGACACAAACTGTCGGGAGTCGACACGGGAACTGGTCCACGGCGCAGCCCGTTACTCCAGTCGGGGAGTCGACACAATCTGCATTCTATCCGACAGTCGCGCCTGAACTCTCATCTGGCTCTGGCTTTACCATCACATACACGCCTGACGATCCATCGCCCCAGTACACTCCCAGCATACGTCCGCAAACACGCTGATACAAAGCCATCAATATTGATGACTTTGGTTGAAGGTGGAGCCGTTTCGCGCCATCACCCTCCTGGCTCCTACATTACATCCATCCGTGATTCACGCCACACGAGACACACACTTCACACACTTCACTTCTCGTACACACACTTAACTCCCGATTCCTACTGCACCCTCGCCTCAGTCAAGTCCCATTCTCCCATCTCCCCATCTCCACGTCACACCATTTCTCCGCAGCTGTGAATGACCACCTTCTCGCCTGTTTTGCCCGACTTGGATCCCAGTCTCTCGACCTTTTTCACCACGTCCGCGCCTCCCGTTACCTTCCCGAACACCACGTGTTTGCCGTTCAGCCAGTCGGTGCGGTCGGTCGTGATGAAGAACTGCGAACCGTTGGTACCGGGCCCGGAATTGGCCATCGAGAGGCAGTACGGCTCGTGCGAGAGGGTGAAGTTTTCGTCGGCGAACTTGCCGCCGTATATGGACTTGCCGCCGGTGCCGTTATTGGCCGTAAAGTCGCCGCCCTGTTAACGACGGAGAGAGGGGGTGAGAGAGATGGACAGAGTGGCAGGAGGATAGCGGGTTACATACAGAGAGTGTCGGGTGACCAATATGAGCGTCACATAATCCATGAATTACTAACACCATCACACTGTAACACAACTGCAAACAGATCACGCAATTTGAGCACCCTAAGACTATCATGGTCCATCACAAACAACTCTGGTCAAGCTATCTCAGTTTGTCTCTTAAACAGAATAAAAACAATTCATCCCAAACGCGTAGGTCAGTTACAACTCAACACTCCATGTGCCAAATCAAACAGCGTAGTAAGGCCCAAACACTAGCATTTCGAGACGTTTATCTGTTCCCAAACACTCACACCCACCTGCAGCACCAAGACATGGTGCAACACAAACACACCTGACCACAACTACAATCACCTTCATCTGACAGTCTCTCTGACCCAAAAACACCGCCGTCCGGCAGTCTCACGCGCTCACAAGCATTCCGCTCCCTACCTGAAGCATAAGCTCGGTAAAAGCCCGTGCAATATGAACATAACAGACAGACCTCCACCCGACACTGTGCCCCACAACCACCAACCTGCAGCATGAAGCCGGGTATGACTCTGTGAAATGTACAAACATGGCCCACCATAACGGACACACCTTCACCCGGCACTGTGCCCCACAATCACCCACCTGCAGCATGAAGCCGGGTATGACTCTGTGGAAGGTGGAGCCCTTGTAGCCGAAGCCCTTCTCGTGTGTGCACAGACAGCGGAAGTTTTCGGCCGTCTTGGGTACCACGTCTGAGCGCAGCGTGATGATGATCCGGCCCAGGGCGGTGCTGCCCGCCTTCACGTCCAGATACACCTGCAGAGACACGTCAGAGGGGGGTAACTCGCCAGCCCAGGGCGGTGCTGCCCGCCTTGACGTCCAGGTACACCTGCAGAGACACGTCAGAGGGGGGTAACTCGCCAGCCCAGGGCGGTGCTGCCCGCCTTGACGTCCAGGTACACCTGTAGGGGACTGGCAATACGTCAGAGGGCTGGTGATTGGTACAGTCCACAGCAGAAGTAATGTGTGGTTTCAGTCATGGGTATGTTCTGCTTCTGAAGCCTAGGAACGATTAGCCAGACTGCAACGAGACTTTAAATGTAGCTTACATGTATCTTCACCCTTGCAGCTACAACTTTATCTATTGACGTCTTCTTTTCAATCAGTCCGCATTTAAAAATCGTCGGTCAGAGCCATCCGTTGAGATTGGTAAAACCACACATTACTTAAAGGGACCCTCCCACCTTCAAAAAAGTTAATGAATTGGCACGAAAGTGATGTCGCTCGGTTCAGAAAGAGCGAAAACGAATATCTACCAAATTTCATCGAAAAATATTCACCGGTTTTCAAGATATTAGACTTTTACTTTTGTTTACTTTTTGGGATCTCCGCTGTTCCTAGCGACTTTATTTGAAAGTGCGGCATTTGTTGCGCGCAAAGCAGCATATACCACCGCGTGCTACCGAACGTTTTAGTAAAAGATTTAAAAATCGTTAGATCTCCGCTGACGTCACAAATTCTAAGGGGGCATACCAATGCACTAGCCCCTTAGAATCCGAAAACTGCAAGTTTGAAATTCCATATCTTCGAATTAAAGCATTTGTCGATGTTGTGAGTGCCCAAACCGGTATTTGCAGGCCATGGCCACCAATTTGGCTATCTCAACTCAAAACTAATGTTAAGGTGGGAGTGTCCCTTTAAGCGGTGGGCTGTACCTATCCCACCCAGAGTCGTGCGTCAAGGTACACCCGAGAAGACAGCGAAACACCATAAAAGTGGTAACGTGAGTGTTGCAGAATTATGTCTAGCTTTTCACGCATTAGAGAATCTCCGACACGATACAGCCAAAGTTGTAAGAAAACACAATCAAACGTTATTACATGAAAAATACAATCTGGCTTCAAGGAGAAACTCTACCTTGTGTTTGCCAGTGGAGAAAGTCGAGCTGAAAGTAAATACTCCGCGTCTCTTCCCCTCTACCACTACTCCCCGCGCGCCCATCCTGACTGACCTGGGGCAGAGCACCCTCGCGGGCGGCGCGACTACCCCTACTCCCGGCGCGCCATCCCTGACTGACCTGGGGCAGAGCACCCTCGCGGGCGGCGCGCCACCCCTGACTGACCTGCGGTAGCGTGCCCTCGCGGGCGGCGCGCGGCGCGATCTTGGAGACCACCCGGCTCTCCTCCTTGTCTCCCTGGGTCTCCTTCTCCAGCGTCTCGCCGGCGTGCTGCTGCAGCCAGTTGTCGTCGGCCCAGACGGGCCGCGAGGAGCCCTCGCGGACCCGCAGCGGGCGCGCCAGGTTCACACGAATCTGGGCACAGGGGGAGTCCAGTCAGTACTCAGTACCACACCGGGAGGGACCCGCAGCGGAGGACAGTCAGTACTCAGTACCACACCGGGAGGGACCCGCAGCGGGCGCGCCAGGTTCACACGGATCTGGGCACAGGGAGACACCAGTAGTCAGTACCGCAGCGGACCCTCAGCGGAGGACAGTCAGTACCACCCGCAGCGGACCCGCAGCGGAGGACAGTCAGTACCACCGGCAGCGGACCCGCAGCGGGCGGGCCAGGTTCACACGGATCTGGACACAGGGAGACACATCAGTACCACCCGCAGCGGACCCGCAGCGGGCGGACACTCAGTACCACCCGCAGCGGACCCGCAGCGGGCGCGCCAGGTTCACACGGATCTGGGCACAGGGAGACACATCAGTACCACCCGCAGCGGACCCGCAGAGGGCGCGCCAGGTTCACACGGATCTGGACACAGGGGGAGTCCAGTCAGTACCACCCGCAGCGGACCCGCTGCGGACGGGCCAGGTTCACACGGATCTGGACACAGGGGCACAGCGGTCAGTACTCAGTACCACCCGCAGCGGACCCGCAGCGGGCGGGCCAGGTTCAAACGGATCTGCACACAGGGGGACACATCAGTACCACCCGCAGCGGACCCGCAGCGGAGGACAGTCAGTACCACCCGCAGCGGACCCGCAGCTCCGACTCGTGCATGTTGTCGACGGAACTCCCCCTGTCCCCGTGTCGCCATGGCAACCGGCGCTCACCGTGCGTCCGAACAGCTCCGACTCGTGCATGTTGTCGACAGCGGCGGCGGCGTCCTCGTTCTGTTCGAACTCGACAAACGCGAAGCCGCGGTGCTTCTCCGTCTCATAGTCGAGCGGGATCTGACGGGAAAAAGGCGCGGGAGTCAGGGGCGCTCGCACCTTACCATCGAGCGGGATCTGGCGCTAAATGAGAATCTGAGGTATTGACAAAACCTATAGTGTCCTAAAGTCGGACGGAATATGGTGGGAGACGTCCACGGGAGAGTCAACCATAGGAGGTTGGAGGAGCTATGGGAGCATACCCAGCCACCCAATCATGGGAGCATACCCAGCAGCCCAATCATGGGAGCATACCCAGCCACCAATCATGGGAACATACCCAGCCACCCAATATCTCTCAATGTGGTGATTACTCTGCATTTGCAGATAGCAAATAGTAAGTGTCAGCTACAGTGCAGGCACAATTACACTCTTAAGATTCTACTAGCCAGAAGGCTATAAAACTTCCAAAACGAGCACATTATACTATTTCTGACTGGGTACAGAAATAGTACCTAGGATCTGACCTGACCTGACTGGGAGCCCACTGACCTGGATGTCCTGAATGTCTCCGAAGGGGATGAAGGCGCCCTGGAGCACCTCCTCCGTGACCTCGTCGGCCAGTCCCCCGACGTAGACGGTCCGCTTCTGCGCCCCCACCGACGTCATCACTACCAGCTGTCGCCGATCTGCGGACTGGGCAGGGCAGCGTGGGGTTAGAAGGCATGGATATTGGATAGTTAAGGACAAACACACAGACAAACAGTTTTGCATGGGAAGATGGAATGGAATGGTCTGGTGTGGTCAGCCTTTACTTGCTACTATTTTACTTAAGGAAAAGGGCATTTTCAACTAGAAAAACAATAAACCAACATGCAGCAAGTGTTAATAGGTATATCATAAGCATCTTATAGGGATACCTATGGGCAAGGTCATGTCGACTTAAAGGAAATATACCACTTTTAACAAGGGGGTTTGAAATGAGATAGCAGCTTTGTAGCTTCACCTGATACTACCACGAATAAGGGGCTTTAATGGGTCTATGGTCACCCAAGGCAAAGATATCCTATTTCTTGTTCCAAAAAGAGTGCCTTGTGAAGGAATGTGGTGACTTGTAGAAAAATGCCAAGAGTGCAGGCACCTGTAGCAGATGCCAAAGCTCAGTCATGAGCCAGTCAGCATTCAGTTTGAACTAGGTCACACTGGTACCTACACAATATGATTGGTCCATGTGTAATAACCTCCCAGTAAACATGCCGACGTCGGCCCGACGTCGGGGTGACGTCGGCAACTCGGCATCGGCATGCCGACGTCGGCCCGACGTCGGTCCAACCTCGGCACGACGTCGGCTGGATGTCGGATATGCCCGCATGTTCCGACGTCCAGCCGAGGTCCAGCCGACGTCGGGCCGACGTCGTACCGAGATCAATTGGTGAGGTCCAGCCGACGTCGGGCCGACGTCGGGGCGACGTCGGACCGACATCGGCCGCTGTTTTGACTGTTAAAATAATATAAAATACATGTTTCATGTTACATAAAGAGCTTCTGTATTCAAAATATCCTCAGGAAACTCAAATCATCCTCCACGCCGCAACCCCCTGATCCGGACTGGACGGGAAACTTTATCCCATTTGGGATTGCCCGTAAGCCGAGCTAGCCCGTAGCCGGGTGCGGTGAGTGCTTGGGGGCTGCTCGGCCTATCCTTTGGTCAGGCTCAGCCCCGGCAACTCACCAGGCCGGGCCCAGTTCATATAGAAAGGCCAGTCGGCAAGTGTCACTTTGCCAAAGTGCCACTTATCAAAGGGACACTTTGGGAAACGTTGGTGCAGGTGTGTAAGAGTGGCTATATGAATCCATTGTGGGGTCGCCCTTTCCAATAAGTGTCACGTAACAGCAATGGGACCAGGGACTCTATATGAACTGGACCCAGGGTGCTCGCCAAGAAGACCAATGTCTCCATCCTATCATCCTTCCGGCTCTGAAATGGTCTTGTCAGACCGAAAGGGATAGCCCAACAAAACAAACCAAGTCCCCTATCTGGCTGCGTGGTGTAGTGGTTAGCGCACTAACCTCGCGTTCAATTAACACGGGGTTCGAATCCCATCGCCCGCTGATGCTTTTGGCGTGTTGTCCCAGTAAACATGCCGACGTCGGCGACTGGGGGGCTCGAATCCCGCCGCCGGTTGATATTTTTGGCGCGTTGTTCCAATAAACATGCCGACGTCGGCCCCGTCGGTCCAACGACAAACGATCTCGTCAACCTCGGCAAACGATCTCGGACCGACGTCGGCTCGACGTCGACTGGACTTCGGCTGGACGTCGGAACATGCGGGCATATCCGACGTCCAGCCGATGTCGGGCCGAGGTTGAACCGACGTTGGGCCGACGTCGGGCCGAGCCTCGGCCCGACGTCGGGCCGACGTCGGCATGTTTACTGGGCTCTGCAGCAAGCTACGTGATTTAGCTGTGCAACATTATTTAGCATCTACCAAAGATGGAGTATAGCCCTTCCAGTTCATCTGCACATTAATTGCTTAGTTCTGGTGGTGATGCCAGCTTTACCAATACCAACAAAATCGTAAAACTGTAGCAAATTGTTGTATATTTATGTTGTTGCATGTGCAGGCTGTGGCATGGTGTTGCATGTGCTTTGCATGGTTTATGAGCCTAATGCTTGGTTCCCTGTTTTCCAGCAATGTTGTGAATAAAAGCCTTCATTGAGGTTCATCGTTCATTACAATTTTATTCACAACATAACCTGCGTGCTGCATGACTCTGGCAAATCAAGATGGACAAGTATCTCAAGCCCCAAGAACTCAACATTGATCCCAAATCGCCATCTGCTGAAGATGAGTGGGATATGTGGATTACAAAGTTTGGGGATTTCTTCAACTCCATCGATCCGGCCCTAAATCCCAACAAGCTCACGCTTCTTCGGGCTCACATGTCATGTGCATGCTATAAGCTGATCAAGGCGGCCACTACCTTTGATGAGGCTGTCGAGATGCTGGAAGCAAGGTTCGTGAAACCCCACAGTGAGGTCTATGCTCGCCACAGGCTCGCTTCTCGGCGACAGCAGGCTGGGGAATCACTTGACACTTATCTCGAGGAACTGGGGCTCCTGGCATCTCAATGCAAGTTTGAAGCAGCTACAGCTGAAAAAGTAAAGGAGGATGCCATACGTGATGCCTTCATCAATGGCCTGTCATCCAGTGCTATTCGACAGCGTCTTCTGGAGAACCTTCAGCTTGATCTGAAAACAGCTGTTTCTCAGGCTCGTGCTCTGGAGATGGCCCAGCAGCAATCTGAAATGTATCATAGAAACAGCAGTGATTCGTCACCAGTGACAGTGACAGCCCATGCTCAGTCTGATCCTTCTTCTGCGGAGGAGACAGTGCCATCCGCTCGAGGAGGAGAGGAAGTGACTGCAGCAGTTGAACGTACCTGCTTCTTCTGTGGTGGTCCACATCATGCTCGAAACAAGTGTCGTGCACGCAATGCTACCTGTTCAAGCTGTGGTAGGCAGGGGCATTTTGCCTCAGTCTGCCAGATGGGGAGATGGTCCAGAAGAGCACAACCGACCAAGGACCGGAGACAAACCACAGCTTCTATGCCGATACTGTCAGCAATGCATGAAACCTCTCTTCCGAGTCTACGGTCTGCTATGACACGTGTCACAATCAATGGTCAAGAGTTCGAAGCGCTGATCCGACACTGGTAGCTCTCAGAGTTTCATCCGTACCCGGGTCGCAGAGGACGTTCACCTGAACATCGAACCCGCACATGGTACTGTGTGCATGGCCTCCACACGGCATCATGTCAAGGTGGCGGGGCAGTGTAGGGTGAGACTACGGGTTCAAGATGAATCATATGATGACTACCTGTTCTCTGTCATGGACGATCTGTGTGCACCTGTGCTACTCGGTCATGACTTTCTCAAGGCACACGAAAGCGTGTCCCTGACGTTCGGTGGCTCTCGATCCTCGCTCAGCCTGTGCTGTCTGACTCCCGCAGTGGTAACGCCACCATTCTTGTTCGGTAACTTGACGGAGGACTGTCACCCTATCCAGGCCAAGTCACGCCGCTACAGCGCCTCCGAAGTGAAGTTCATCGAGGGTGAGGTCGATCGTCTCCTAAAGGAAGGCATCATCTCTCCCAGCACCAGCCCATGGCGTGCTCAAGTTCTTGTGGTTGCATCTCCTAGCGGGAAACGTCGGATGGTTGTGGACTACGCCCAGACCATCAATCGCTTCACGGAGCTGAATGCTTACCCGCTGCCAAGAATCAACGAACAGGTTGAAAAGATCGCTCAATACTCCTACTTCAGCACGATAGACCTGACCAGTGCCTATCACCAGATCCCCATCGATCCTGAAGATCGCAAGTACACAGCTTTCGAAGCTGATGGAAGACTCTTCGAATTCCTTCGTATCCCGTTCGGGGTCACTAATGGGGTCGCCTGTTTTCAGCAGATCCTCGACGATGTCATCCGAGCTGAGAACCTGCGCGTCGCGCGACACATTTGCATACGTCGACGACGTGACCATCTGTGGTCGCACCAGAGAAGAACATGACAGGAACCTGGAGCGCTTCATCGACGCTGCAAAGAAGTTCTCGCTGACGATCAATCAAGAGAAGAGTCAGTATGGCAAGACATCCGTCAGGATCCTGGGGCATGTGGTGGAGAACCGGACGATTCGACCTGATCCAGAGCGACTTCGAGCCTTGATGGAGCTGCCGGTGCCCGAGGACGCGAAGGCACTGAAGCGAGCTGTAGGCATGCTCTCACACTACAGGGTGTCCGGATAGTTCTGGCGCTTTTCAACATTTTCTAAAACAAATGCCATTGGTTCATAGATACTAATCAATGGATCATAACAATGACCAGGGACACCAAGCCACATGCTTCCGCTACGTGCTCATTCAATGTAACCACCGTCGGCGCCGACGACGGCCTCGACGTAGGGAATGAAGCGTCTGCGGGTTTTGACGATGCGGGGCATTTCCAGGTCCTCCCATGCTGTCATGATGCGAGTCTTCAGCGACTCCAGGTTGGGGTGAGAAATGGCCTAGATCCTGTTCTACAAAACGCGTAGCACGCCTTAGTCGAGCGGGTCAGGTTAGGAGAATAAGGCGGCCTAATCTCATTTCGCCACGGTGATCTGGCCCGGCAAGCTCCTCTGTCAGTTTAGCTTGAATGGCGGCGGCGTTGTTGGAGGGTGCTCTGTGCTGTTGAAATGCGAAGTGACCCTTAGGGCATGTCGTCTTGACCCTCGGGTTGATGTGGCTGTCCAGGAACCCCTCGTGGGCCAGCCTGTTATTCATTTATTCGACATTGACGAAGATGATGGGACATTTTTGTCCATCAGACCCCCGCACTTTCTTCGATTGCCGCGTTGAAATGCTGCTCCGTTCCCATATCGCGTTCGAAACGGTCTGAGGATATTTTTTAAGGAATTCCCGAGTCGAAATAAACCTTTACCTGCTAAACCATTCATCGAAAAACGCCGCATCGCGCTGCAACTCGCGCCTCGTTCAAGTCGCACCCGGCCGCCGCGCGCAGGCATTCAGCGACAAGGCGCATCTTCGCCCATCTACCCATCACTGAAAACGATTTCAAGGTCATATTTACACGACCCCTGGCTGAGCAATCAACGAGGGGTCATGTCTGTGATGATTGGCTGAATGTCCAATAATCACAGCGCGCGTTACACGGCGTCCAAAAGAAGCGCCAGGACTTTCCGGACACCCTGTACTCCAAGTGGGTGTCATCCTTCTCCGAGAAGCTCCGGCCGCTGATCGACGGCGACTGCTTTCCCCTGTCGCCTGACGCGGTCGCGGCGTACCAGCGGTTGAAGGAAGACATCGGTGCTGCTACCATGTCAGCGATTGACGACTACGCTACCTTTGTGGTAGAGACGGACGCGTCTGATAATGCGATCGCAGCCACTCTTACTCAGAACGACAAGCCGGTCGCCTTCTTCTCGCGAACGTTAAACCCATCAGAACGCAAACAGGCATCCGTTGAGAAGGAGGCTGCAGCCATAGTCGAGTCAATTCGAAAGTGGCGGCATCTTCTGATTGGACGCCACTTCAAGCTCATCACAGATCAACGCTCGGTCTCCTTCATGTTCGACCGCGCGAGCAAAGGACGCATCAAGAACGACAAGATACTGCGTTGGCGTCTCGAGCTGGCGTGCATGAGCTTTGAGATCGTGTATCGTCCGGGGAAGTTCAACACAGTTCCCGACATGCTATCCAGGGCTGTCTGTGGCGCAACCACCACGGACACTGAAGATCTCATCCGATCTCTCCATGGACAATTCTGCCACCCTGGTGTAACGCGGTTGTGGCACTACCTCCGGTCGCGGAATGTGGCTTGTTCGGTGGATGATGTAAGGCGAGTCGTAACGCAGTGTAGAACCTGTGCACAGCACAAACCACGATTCGTCCATACCTCTAACACGCTTGTCAAGGCGACTAGAGTGTTTGAGCGATTGAGCGTTGACTTCAAGGGTCCCCTGCCATCAAACACTCAAAGAGCGTACATGTTTGTCGTGGTAGATGAATTCTCCCGCTTCCCGTTCGCTTTTCCTACTGCCGATACGTCTGCGGATTCGGCGATACAGTGTATGATGTCTCTGTTCACTATGTTTGGCACACCGGAGTTTGTACATTCCGATCAGGGCACCGCCTTCACGTCCTCTCGATTTAAGCAGTTTCTCCTACAGAACAGCATCGCCCAGAGCTTCTGTTCGGCATACAACGCCCCAGGCAACGGTCAAACCGAGCGTTACAACGGCATCATCTGGAAGTCTGTGTGCATGGCCTGTCACTCTGACAGCATCGACTTGAAAAACTGGGAAACCGTCCTCCCCCGGGCTCTGCACAGCGTTCGTTCGTTGCTATGCACAGCCACGAACCAGACGCCTCATGAACGATTCTTCAAACATCCTCGAAGGTCAATCAATGGTCAAGCTCTCCCTTCTTGGCTGGTGACATCAGACAGGGTACTGCTCCGTCGGTTCAACCGCGCCAGCAAGTACGAGCCTCTGGTGGATGAGGTCGATCTTCTGCACGTTACTCCCACGTACGCCAAGGTCCGACTGCCGAGTGGTCGTGAGCCGACTGTCTCTATCCGTCATCTCTCGCCCATGGGAGGTGAGAGCGCTGGGGAGCACTGCCAGATGGGTGATCATCGATCGAGTGACACAGACGTGCCTCCTATTGACTCGCCCTGTGACCCTGTGTGTCCCGCTGAGCGTGGCGACTCGTCTGATGCTGTGTCCGTCTCTGCACCGGATGTTCATGATGTACCTCCCGAGATCTCGCCTGACTGTCCTGATACCACTGTAACGAATTTGGATCGGCCTCTGCGAAGGTCAACCAGGGTGAAGCAGGTGCCTGTTCGATTAATGGACTATCAGATGTGTAAGCCGTGACAGGCGAGCGTTTTGACATGGTGTGGCGAGGAGTTTGTCTTTGTGTTAGTGTTGCTGAGCGTAGTTTTGGCACGCTCAGTCTTGAGGGACGGTGAATGTTGTATATTTATGTTGTTGCATGTGCAGGCTGTGGCATGGTGTTGCATGTGCTTTGCATGGTTTATGAGCCTAATGCTTGGTTCCCTGTTTTCCAGCAATGTTGTGAATAAAAGCCTTCATTGAGGTTCATCGTTCATTACACAAATAAAACAAAAAACAAAAGCAGAATATTTCCTTTAATAATGTCATCAGTAATTTTATTTAATAAGTAAAAAAGTGCTTATAGTGCTGACCTAAACAGATAGGTAAAATGGTATTTGTCAAGATAAGGTCCGCTCTACAGTTGTGGCTCTGTTGATACAAATATGCAACAGCAGAAATTTTAGGTTGTATGTAGGTTAGGTCAGTTTGGCAGTTTGTACATTTTAGGTTGTATGTTGGTAGGTTTTTAGGTTGTAGTTATCAGGTTGTACATGTACCTAGGTTTGTACATTGTTAGGTTGTTAGGTTGTAGGTAAGTAGGTAAAGTTAGGTCAGGTTTGATTGTTTTCTTTGCAAGACATTTATACATCATTTGTGGATTTAGGATGTCAAATAATGAAAGAGTATGAAAAAACATCCTTGAAATCTTGCGAGGACTTTATCTTGACATTTACTGGTAAATGTTGCATGTCATTATATCTACATACTACATAGGTACGTACCTACCTGGCCGTAATATTTTCTGGACAATTTGCCAGCTGGCGCCTTATGGTGGGGTGGCACTAGCACTTCAACTTAGCAGAGCTTGTCATATTTCAATGCCAGATACCTACAAACAACTAAATATCCCAATCCATCTTTTAATTTTTCTGTGAATGCCATTTTACATCTACCTATATGTCCATCTCTTAACATGTTTAAATCAATAAATAACATAGCTATCATCAGTGGCGGCGGAAGGTATTCTAGGATAGGGGTGCAAACGATATTGAAGCGCCCCTTCCCGCTGGGCGCCCCTTACCATGCCGATGGCCGTCCCTGCACTGGAAAATCAGTTTCGCCCCTATACAGGCGCCCATAGAAGTTTGCAGAGTGCTATTCCTGGTCATAATCATCTCCCCAGTAAAAAAAAAACGCAAAATACGCCCTAGCACTAGGGGTGTAACCGCCCATACGGACAGTGCAATTTTACAGGCCCCAATCTCGGACCTCCCTTAACATTCATATGTTGTAACGGCAAACCGCCCCCGATAAATGTTACACAAACTAATTTCCTCTCGCATATCGGCCATCAGGCACCCCTTTTTGTCGCATGGAGCCTGCAACGCTATAAGCCCTCATATGTTCGTGTTGGCGTTCGGAGGCTATCTATCGCCTTCAAAGACGTCTCCATAAATGTTTCTTTTTCGTCCCACACACAGGCGCCCCTCTTCCGCATGGCGCGCTTCTCGAGTAGCTGCGCCCTCCTAGCCTTTATCGCCTGGCAAGATTATATACGACAGGGTCGGCAGCATCTGCCTTTGTTTCAGATAAGGATGCCCTCCACTTTTCAGCATATCAAAAGATACTTTTCCCACGTCATTGCCACCCTCTTCATGTCACAAGTGCCTTTATCAGCTGCGGTGTCGCCTCGCACTGCTCAGCTTTATGGCTGCCGCACCTCTTAACTTCCTGCCTCCTCTGCAGATTTTCGAGGCGCCCCTTTCCATAGCTTTAGGGTGCAGCTGCCCCCCTTGCCCCCCTGCTTCCGCCGCCACTGGCTATCATACACCACCAGCTGGCCAGCCAGCTGATTTTATCCAGTTGTTAGTAAGGTCCTACTCCTACCTACCTACCTGCCTAATCTCTGCTTAGCGGTTGCTTCCACCCATCCGGTTGAGCTGAGGCGCGCCTGCACCATCAGGTTGTTGTCCTCCCTGATAAATGACTGATGACCCTCTGTTATTCCCTATCTCAATTTGATATTGCTGATACACTAGTGAAAATGATAAAAATGGTAGGTAACAATAAACACGAGTGCATTTTAAGGCAACAAAACAATGTACCTAACACTATAGAGTATTGGAAAGGCGTAGAAAAAGAAAAGAGTCAAAGACCATGCAAAAAGTTAGTAGCTAAATAACATATTGATATGTAGGTACTTACTCGATTGACAATTATCAATTAGGAATAAAATTGATATCTTTCCAACCAAACCAAACGTTTTCGAGAATGCTCATGCTGAGAGGCGCACTTGAGGGGCTCTGGTATTAACTGGATAATTCGCCAGCTGACGCCGTATGGTGGCGCTAGTGGAGCAGCACCATATGACGTCAGCACAAAACACCGTGAGCAGCTATGAAATGGGAGCGAGCACCACGGAAATATCGAAAGGTGATGGACATGTACTGACTTTGGTCATTCAAGTACCACCAACACCATACAAAAATCATATAATATCATCAAGACTGATTCTGGAATCGATTCGTCCGGGTATTTAAAACACACAAAAAATGTTTGTTACCGAATTCTGAAACAGTATAAGGATATTCTTGTTCCTTACTTTTACCTTGTGGAGTACTTTTACTTGCTTTCTAGTGCGCCCATCACTATCTTGAAATCTGGATTGCAACGCTGTAGGAAAACTTTTTTTCATTTGTCATTTCTTCCACTTTTGAGCAGTGATAATTTATTTGGTTTTATACATTAAATAATGAAGACGGCTCCTAACTTTTTAGGGATCTGCAGTGGCCCAGAGAGCAAAATCAGATATTTTCTAAGAACTTGAGGCCACTATTTTCTTATATGCTAGAAAATATACAAATATTGACATTAAAAGAATGATACGGGTATATAATTCTGCAGAAATATAAATTCAAAGTATTTAAATTATTCAAGAACCTTTTTAAAATCTTCCATAATGACTTCTTTCAATACAAGCTGGATGCAATTTCAATCAATAAAGCAGCACAAGGCAGTACATTGAGCTACGATGATCCATAACCAATCGGCACCTGCAATTTGATTGATCTTCGAGATGTACCCTGCCCCTGTTCCCTGACTTTCCCTTTTCGTTGTACCGGGTGAAGTGAATATTCTGTGAATATTCTTCTGACAGTCAGTTTTTAGTCCTACATTATGTTGTCAAACAGATTTAATTGGTTCAAAAACCGTCGTAGTCCGTCTCATTCGCAGTCTACATCTCCACATGCGCACCCATACATGCCCAAAATTTTCACTACGTATGTACTATGTACCCTGCAGCGTATCCTGATGAAAAATGTTTTGTTGAAATCATAGACACTTCCCAAGGTAGGCCATAGTCCATGGCCATATATTTAAGTCAAAACAGATAAAACAGATAAACACAATTCCAATCATCAAGTCAACCAGCATCGACAATCTGCACATAAGTTCTAAACCTATTGTAAGACTACTTTGTATTCAAACTTTGTATTGCAGAAGGGTGGAAGCTGCATGGAATTATGCGACAATTTTAGCGTGCATCCACGCTCGAAAGAGCAGGGTTAATTGTAACAATGTCAATACCATAGCAATAACGTAATTGTAGGCGTTGTGATTCGGTTGTTTCTTGTCTGTGCTGGCCATTGCGCGGGCGGTCCAGCGGCGGAACTCGGCTTCGCCGCCGTGGCGCGCTGGCAGTTGCTTCTTCTTCTTCTTCTGCATCCCATCGCCAACCCGCTCAGGGGGGCGGCGGCGCAGGCGGGTCGAGCGGCGGCTCGGTCCGCCCAACATCCTCGATGAAGGTGACGACCTTCGTCGCCGGGCCGCCGAGGACGTCGACCAGGCGAGGGTCGGCACCCGAGCGGCGGCGGCGGGCCGCCTCATAGGCCGGACAATCGGTCAGTAGGTGCGCCGCGCTGTCGGGCTCCCCGCACGCGGGGCATTCGTAGTCGGCTTCCGGGCCAATCTTGTGGAGCGTGTCACGGGTCAGCGGTGATGTGCCGGTCCTCAGCTGGGACAGCGTCACCGACCCCAGCGCGCCAGGGAGTCGTGGCCAGGCGTGGGGTCCGGGTGCGGGTGGGCAGCGGTTGCCCTCTGTCGCGACAGCTCCCGGACATGGCGCGTGACGGCGGCTCGCGCACTCGACAGGTCGATCGGTGCGCTGTCTTGGTCGCCCGCCGTGGCCTCGCCAGCCAGGCGGTCGGCGGTTTCGTTGCCGTCCAGCCCGGCATGGCCTGGCACCCACTGGAGCACCGTCTCGGTGCCGTTCTCGGCGAGGGTGCTCAGCACTCAGCAGCCTCCACACCTCGGCGGCCAGGGCCATGGTCTGGTTAGCTGGGCCGCGGCCGAGTAGTTGGAGCCCAGACCTTGAGTCGGTGAGGAGGCGGACCGACTTGGTCGATGCCAACTCCCCGTCCTCCAGGCCGGCCACAGCCGCGAACGCCTCGCGCATGGCGGTCAGTTCTGCTCTTAGGCTGGAGCAGACCGCCCCTGCAGGAGCGCGCACGGTCTCTTCTCTGTTGAGGTGGTGGAACTGGATCAGCGCCTGCGCCGCCCTGTTCCGTCCGCCGCGAGCCGAGCCGTCCGACCAGATAGTGACGTCCGGGTGCGGGAGCTCTGCAATGGCTCGCAGGGCAGCTTCCCTGCGGACTGCAGGCGGGTCCGACCGGCGGGTGGCCACGGGCAGGTCCACCCTGAAGGTGATGCCGCCGCGGTGGCCCAGCCATGGCGGGTCGCAGCTGTAGAACGCTGAACCTGTAACACAATAGAATTGCAATTGTAACAAAGACCTGCATGGTCAGCACACATCTGCAGTGACTGTCATCCCAAGTTGGTATGAATTGGCACAAAGTTGGGTCATGGTAGCAGACGTAGCACAAGCTGTTGTGATATGCCATACCGTAGGACTAGGTCGTAGGTTGTAAATTTTAGGTTTAAGGCTGTAGGTTGTAGGTCAGGTTAGGTAAGGTTTGGTTAGAAAGACCCATTCTCGTGCATCGGGCAGCTTGTGCTACATCTACCTGACCAATACCCAATTTGGATTCCCAAAATTGATGGCAAACAGGCTTTTTGTATAACAAGTGTGGTTAATTGTTCTAATCCCCACTGCAATGTGAGGGTAACTGCTTTTCTACAATCACAAAATTTGAATTCATATAGGTAGGTGTTTACATGTTCAGAAAATGATACAAAATATGACACAATTAATTATAGCTGCAACTGGATAGTGGATACCAACCTCAACTGAAAGTTTCTGCAGCCTTATAACCTAACAAATGACTAAATTGCCAAAATAAATCCCTTAGTACAATAGCTTGACTCTAAAATAACAGAAATTTTTCATGCAGACCCTGAAATGGAGGGTTTATGAAAAGTAACAAAAATAAACATTCACTAATATCAATATGTTGTTATAAATTTCATATGTAGCATAAGCGCCAATACTGCCTTCATTTACAATGTTGCTACTGTTTTCCACTCACAAACGCTGCCCTCCGTGGACAGCAGCAGCAGCAGTGAAACGTCACCCGTGGTGTGACATCACCACCCATGACGTAATGGAAATCCAGTTGTTACCAAGGCCCCACTTGAGGCGCACGAGGCGTTAGGCATGTTTTGACTGAGTTGCGTCACATTCAGCACGCTGCCATATTTACTGCACACTTTTCCCTTTGCTGTGGTAGGTCGTCTCCTTCTAGGCAGAAAAATTCACGGCCAAGATATAATATACCCCGCGATATACCCCCGTGATATACCCCCCGTGATATATAAGATATACCCCGTGTCTCTCGGACGACGAAAATTCTACGTCGTCCGGGTCCGTCCAATCCTGCACAAGCCACAAGGTCAGCGGGGGCTCGGCTGCGGTTATGGAACATTGGAACGTGATACTCTTACCTGGTACTCTTACCTGGTGGGGCTCCTTCTGCTTCGCAGCCGGTAGTAAGGACTGGAGCAGGAGGAACCCGGATAGGATCAGGACACGCCAGTCACAGTCTCCCCACGATGATGTCCTGTAGACATGGCCAGATGACTGGAAAGTGTGTGTCCTCGTGGCATACCTATGCCATTGGAAAACAACACTTATCGGTATGTTTGCACAAATATCGCGAGACAGATGTAGTCGTACAATGTGTTACCTAGTGCCTGTGCGAGAAGTCGTTTGAAAGACGACAGATCTGAAGCGGCCACCACGGGCCACGGCCTCTGGCAAACTATTCCAGATAGCCACCCGACGATGCGAAAACAAGCGCTGCCGCACGTTCCAAACAGCACGTGCTACATGCAGCTTGAAGCAGTGACCACGAGTTCCACCTCGGGGAGGCTGATGGAATGATGATTACTGATGGAAATGTGATTGGCCGGACGACGTAGAATAGAATCTTCGTCGTCCGAGAGACATCGAAAGCGGGGGCCGGGGATAATGAGTAGATAGTAAATACAAAGTAATCTTGGATATATAAGCTGCGTTTACATAGGGATTGTTGCAAGCTTATAGCTTCGCCCGTCATCCCGCACCCCACTGGGGTCTGCGTATAACACGCCCTACTGGGGGGGGCCTTCATAGCCCCCCCCCTCATAACTCCGAAACTAGGTACTGGGCCGATCGTCAAAATTCAAACGGTGTCTGATAGCCCCGGAAAAACTGTCGAACGAAACCTAATTTCATTGACCTCGAGGTCACTGATGACGTCACAGGTCAGGTCAAAATAAAAATTATTTGCATTTTGGCTTGTTCACATTTTGGGCTCTAACCGCCGTCTTACAAGTCAGATCAGGCTCATTTTTGGTTTACACACTCGTGAACAGATGCTCTAGTTACCCTGAGGGTACCAAACTTGTAGTTTGCTTTTCAGGTCAAGGTCAGGTCATCACAGGTCACGAAAATATTATATCATGCGTCGGTCACGTGACACATGTTTTATGCTCCATTTAGGCCAAAGATTTCGAATTTGATGTCGTTTGTGTCATTCGAGGCCATTTTGAGTCGAATTTAGCTTAGGTCAGGTCACCTTCAGGTAAAAAAATGTCAATTTTTGAAGTTAAAATTTTTCAACATAAAAGGTGTCTATTGGATGCAGTTTGAGCTCAGGAACACGATGGTGCTATTTATATTGGCTACGATGTCAAATACGTGCTGAAAATTGATTTGAAATTAATAATTGTGAATTGTTTGCAATAATGCGTACCTATAAGTTGGCCATTTTTGAAGATATTTAGCTAAAACTTGCTAGAGTTAGTCATAATAATGCGTTCTATCACATATATTCCGGTTTTTCAGAAACTTAAAAACTTTTTTTTAATGTAAAAATATAGATTTTGAATTGTATTATATTAAATTTTCGAAATTTTTAAAATTTCGAAAATCCGAGATAGCAGATTGATAGCGCAGTCTATTTTGAGTCCTTTCATGCAAAGAAATTGGATCTAGCTTTAACCCTCTAGTGCCCCCGGTATCATATCTGTAAGTCAATTTGCAGAAAATTCGCCTGCTAATCATAGAGGTGAAAATTGTTGAAAACCCTGTTGTATCAGAAGTGGTACGTCCTGGCAACCACCTGGTGGCAAAATTTTTAAGTAATGATTTCTCAGTTTCCCACCAGGTGATTTTGAAGAGGGTCAGTTTGTCCTTTGCCGAAAATCAATTTGAGATGCAAGTGTAAATTTAGGCATTTAGAAAACAAAAAAATTAGTTATTTGGAAAGAAACTTGGTATACTGTGAGACAAATGTTCAACATATATCATAGTATGTTGCAAAACATCGCAACTTTTTCAGGGTCAAAGATATGGACCCCCATTTTTGGGGATGCTATATATGATACGGTGGGCATAGCACTCCAATATTTTCTATGAAATTTTCGCCGCTGCAACATACGGTGTGCCAATACCATAGTTTTCTCAGGTGATAAGCATTGCAATGGCCTGTGAGTCATTGCAAATGACGATGGTACAAGATGCATAAATTTGTGAAGTTCGCACCTCTTGCGCCAGATAACTCTAATTCGCTCCAGACTTAAAATGTCATAACGATATTGGTACGCTTATGCCGCCTCTCATCCTTGTCAATCTTCCAACATCTAGCTTTCTATGAGTGGCCTTACATGCCTCATACATCTCGACTTTTCTAACGCTCATAGGAATCTGGTTTTCCAACTGTTTGACGATGACAATAGTGAACTTTTTGATCTGCAGGACACTAGCAGACCATATCTTCTTAACCACGTTAGGAATGACATGCTATCGATGACAAGCTTGTTGATTTCAAGGAACGATTATCCGTGCGAGCATTTATACTCGTGAAACCAAAAATTGAGACTTGATGTTAGGGACAGGAGGATTTCGCGGTCTCTTGCACAATTTCGATATTCCAACAGGGGTTGTGGACGGGCTTATTTATGTCTTGTGGGTCTATGTGTTATCTGGGCATGGCTGAAGACTTGCATTAGCAGCCAGCCAGCATTTTTCATTCATATTGGAGAACGACTCACCATTTGTTTGCGATTCAAATCTCCTCCGTTCATCCCAGTATTAAGAGGTTGAATGTGGAGTGGAAAACTATATCGTCATCTTCAGAGGAAGCTGGCTAAACGGGCTCGCCATGAAGACAGACTCCGGACCGAAGGGCGTGGTTCCTTTGATTTCCTATCTAAGAAGTAGGCAACCATGCACTGCTGCCAGGTTCCAGCAGGTGCCTGACACCTGGCAAGCATTTTCACTGCCAGGTATGTCATTTGTTGTCATATATTGACATATACCGCCAACTGTGGTAGCTGAGTGCCACTGAACAAAAAGGATTTACATATAGGTACTAAAACATGGATACTACTTTTGTACTGACCATAAGAACCAGTATAACGCCTTATGGGGCGACTAACGGAGCGAGCGAGAGGTTGAGCCTTGCACGTGCGAAATTTCGAGGGGGTACCTCCAACTGACTTGTGCACGGCACCCTACTCACCGATCTCTAGCGATGTGCCAAATTTGAGCACAATCGGCCCAGCCGTTCTCGAGATCTGGAAGCGGCACCCTGCACGTGCGCACGTGCAAAATGGGTCCCAACTGACTTGTGCACGGCACCCTACTAACCGGCCCCTAACCGCGTACCAAATTTGAGCGCAATCGGTCCAGCCGTTCTCGAGATCTGGAATCGACCCCTGCACGTGCGCACGTGCAGCAGCACCCCAACTCTGGCACATGGATATGCAGTGCCTAGTGGGTGCCTACCTACATGCCAACTTTCAGCGCAATCGGCCAAGTAGTTACCGAGATATTGCAACAATTACAAAACTGACACCTCTTCGTTTTGCACGTGGCACGTGCATAAGGGGTCACCCACATGCATAGGGAATAGTCCAATACTTGGTAGAAGGAATGAAGCTACCCTACAAAAATTACCGCGTGTAAATCGGTCAGGTGGTTGCTGAGCTATAAGCCTCGCAAAAGCGTCCGCACGGCCGGCCGGCCGGCCGGCCGGCCGCTCATACTCAGAAATTTCCGTTATTCTACGTAAGACTCCGCTCGCTTCGCTCGCTCCGTAATAAAAGTTTAAGTGCGGCATTGCGTAATGCGTATGCTCACCTCCATATGAGGTCAATGAATATTGTGCAAGTTCCTGCCGATCGGTGCACAGTTACCTGTACCTTTGTTGTCTGACACGTACAACGGTTATTGCACTGGTCAGTGCGCGGCTGTTATACTGACGCCGATGACATCAGGACCGCACGATCAGTCAAAGTACTAACTGACGATTCACAGGCTGCCAGAGTTTCAGTCACCCGAGATTGTCCGGCTATCATGAAGATAAACCAACATCGTCTTTGGCATTGATCCCGGTCCGTCGGCACGCTGTCCAGCACTTTGTATCAGAACTGCTTCACTTCAACCACTTACCGCGAGCCAACTGTAATGTCTTCATTTCTATATCAAGTATGCATAACGCATCTACGTTTGAGAAGCACGGCTCACATGTCTAAATTATGAAAAAATTGCACAGGTGCAACGCGCTGTATCGTGGAAATTGAAGGAATAGAAGGCACTCGTAAATAGATGCCTATGATTAGCGTTGTTCCCTGAGCACCGACGGAAAGGACATTTTGATACCAGAAGGATGCCAATGAAATATTAAGAAAATGTTCTGATCAAAAGTGCACAGTAAAGGACGTCTTGTTGGCATTTTACACATTTTAACTGCCACTTTTATCACTGAAATTCTTAATAACATATATTTTCTCATCTATGTCTTCACTTCCTTCTGTGTGGTCTGATACCACTAAAAATTACCAAGTGGAATGCCCAATGTATCATATTTGATGCAAAATTTATTTCCGAAATTTGAACTGCGAAAAAATTTTTGACTCCAGATTTCGAACAAGGGACCCAAAATGAATCATACGTCACAAGGGGCTAATTTTAGGAACCGTGGAACTATGTGTGGGCATTAGAGGGTTAAAACTGAGCTCTTGGGGGCGATTGCCGTGGTTCAATGTTTTGCGTCGAAATCGGCCGAACATGACGTCACTCTGGCGTCATTTCCGGCCGACCTATGGTAGCTACGAAGTTCAAATTTTGACACAAGGTGTTAAATTGATGCAGCCAAAGGTACTGAA